AATATCCACTAAAACATTTTCTGACCCTCACTTTGTCTCTGTGTTTGTTACAGCGGCGCTTTTGCTTGTTTTGACCCGCTTTATTTTGTCTTTGTTTCGTGTCTTTGTTTGTCAACTGTGCTCGCATTATATTGCCTCCATCACATATATTGGAGGTCTCTATGCTGAGTTTTGCAATATATCCTTTATACATGTTTTAGGAATACACATAGGTATATACTTAGGTATATTTCGTTAATTTTATACAGCAAGATTCTTATTAGCTTATTCTTCATAATTTGAAGGTTAGGCCTACATATATTCCTTGTCGTCTTCTCTTGGATCATTTAAACTATTTGTGCTTTGGCTTAGTTCTGAGGCGTAAGTTGTGGAATATTTTGATAACACAGTACAGGACCTCCCCCTCCCCCTCCCCCCTTCCGACAGGTGTTGGCAGTGGTGGGAGTACACAACCCCCCCCCCCCTGTAGGTGTTGGCAGCGGGTGGAGGAACAGAAGCACCCCCCCCCTCCCGTTACAGGTGTTGGCAGCGGGGGGAGGAACAGAAGCACCCCCCCCTCCCCTTACAGGTGTTGGCAGCGGGTGGAGGAACAGAAGCACCCCCCCCTCCTTACAGGTGTTGGCAGCGGGTGGAGGAACAGAAGCACCCCCCCCTCCCCTTACAGGTGTTGGCAGCGGGTGGAGGAACAGAAGCACCCCCCCCTCCCCTTACAGGTGTTGGCAGCGGTGGAGGAACAGAAGCACCCCCCCCCCTCCTTACAGGTGTTGGCAGCGGGTGGAGGAACAGAAGCACCCCCCCTCCCCTTACAGGTGTTGGCAGCGGGTGGAGGAACAGAAGCACCCCCCCCTCCTTACAGGTGTTGGCAGCGGGTGGAGGAACAGAAGCACCCCCCCTCCTCCTTACAGGTGTTGCCAGCGGGTGGAGGAACAGAAGCACCCCCCCCTCCCCTTACAGGTGTTGGCAGCGGGTGGAGGAACAGAAGCACCCCCCCCCCCTCCTTACAGGTGTTGGCATCGGGTGGAGGAACAGAAGCACCCCCCCCTCCCCTTACAGGTGTTGGCAGCGGGTGGAGGAACAGAAGCACCCCCCCTCCCCTTACAGGTGTTGGCAGCGGGTGGAGGAACAGAAGCACCCCCCCCCCTCCTTACAGGTGTTGGCTCGGAGTGATAATAGGAAAATGTCTTCCCGTGTTGGTGATAATTGCTCACGATGTTCCTTTATTTTTGTTAATGTTTTCTTTAACTGTTTCTTTATTTATAAACCTTTGTGAGCCTTTCTTCCATTTTTGGTGTGATGGAGAAAAGTATATATATATATATATATATATATATATATATATATATATATATATATATATATATATATATCAGCCAACATTAATGTCCACAGAAATAGTATAGCGAGAGCACCAGTGTACCGCTGGTGACTGCCCTCCTGTACCTGTGTACCGCTGGTGACTGCCCTCCTGTACCTGTGTACCGCTGGTGACTGCCCTCCTGTACCTGTGTACCGCCGGTGACTGCCCTCCTGTACCTGTGTACCGCTGGTGACTGCCCTCCTGTACCTGTGTACCGCTGGTGACTGCCCTCCTGTACCTGTGTACCGCTGGTGACTGTCCTCCAGTACCTGTGTACCGCTGGTGACTGTCCTCCAGTACCTGTGTACCGCTGGTGACTGTCCTCCAGTACCTGTGTACCGCTGGTGACGGCCCTCCTGTACCTGTGTACCGCTGGTGACTGCCCTTCTGTACCTGTGTACCGCTGGTGACTGTCCTCCAGTACCTGTGTACCGCTGGTGACTGCGCTCCTGTACCTGTGTACTGCAGGTGACTGCCCTCCAGCACCTGTGTAGGGTGGAGAGTCGTGTGGAGCCAGGACGGTCCGCTATATATACACAGCATCACAGGTCAGTCACATATATACACAGGTACAGAGGTAGGTGTTGGTGGTGTATAAAGGGGACAGACTGTGTGTGTGGAGCAGCAGCTGTATACAGTCTCTGTGTATACAAACATGTATGGCTGGGGGGGTGGGGGTCGAGGGTATAGGTAGTTTAATCATGTTATTTGGGTTTTAAGGCGTGTTGATACGGATTGCTGAGAGATGGGTTGAATATCTCTCTCTCTCTCTCTCTCTCTCTCTCTCTCTCTCTCTCTCTCTCTCTCTCTCTCTCTCTCTCTCTCTCTCTCTCTCTCTCTCTCTCTCTCTCTCTCTCTCTCTCTCTCTCTCTCTCTCTCTCTCTCTCTCTCTCTCTCTCTCTCTCTCTCTCTCTCTCTCTCTCTCTCTCTCTCTCTCTCTCTCTCTCTCTCTCTCTCTCTCTCTCTCTCTCTCTCTCGTCTCCCATTCCCGCCTCATAACCTTCCCATCCGCAGCATCTCCTGGACGAAGTATAATACATCAGCCATCATAAAGAGCAGCATCACATACCGTCATGTTTTGTGAGGGTACTTGGCACGCCTCCACCCTCGCCTCCGCCCTCACCTCCGCCCTCACTTCCGCCCTCCCCTCCGCCCTCCCCTCCGCCCTCACCTCCGCCCTCACTTCCGTCCTCACTCTCACTTCCAGACGTTGTATACAATCTCTTGAAACAGACGAGACAGTACGTGGGGGTGTCCGCGATAGGCAGACATCCAGACACCAAAAGTATACATAGAAACCGATCACGTGGTTAGTGACACGGATTAGATTCCGTGTTTTTTTTGGGGGGGGGGGAGAGGGGGGTTACTTTTTCTCAACTTGGTGTGTGTTCCCAGGATGATTTATAGCCTGCTTGTACTGCACGAGTCTTACTAGCCTGGCCTGTGTTCAGGACCATATGTTTCGCAGACCCTGCCAGGTCCCTGTCTAGGACCTGGCTGACCTGGCTAGAAGACCATATACCGGGTCTTCTGGTGATCTGCGAATATTACCAAGCTTATACCCTGGACCATATACTGGGTATCCCTAGTGCCCCGCGAATACAGCAAGGATAATGCCCAGAATTATAGACGGTGTCTCCCGAACCCAAGTAAACTCAATAGGTCTATGTCCAGGAGCATGTAATGGTTCTATTGATGCCCAACCACTTGAGCTGGACGGTAGAGCGACGGTGTCGCTTCATGCAGGTCAGCATTCAATCCCCAACCGTCGAAGTGGTTGAGCACCATTCCTTCCCCCCCCCCCTTCCCTTCCGTCCCATCCCAAACCCTTATCCCGATCCCTTCCCAGTGCTATATAGTCGTTGTGGCTTGGAACTTTCCCCTGATAATTCTCTCCCTCCCTTCCCTCCTGGTGCCCAGTGATCCCCACCTCACCTGTCAGTGACTGTACACATGTAGGACTGAGCACTGCCCACCTCACGGGGCAGTGCTCAGTCCTACACTCTCCCAGTGTCTTGATGCACAAATTAACAGGTGACAGTCCCACACGAAGCTGTCATCTGTTAAGATGATGACATTTGTATTGTTGCAAATACTCAAACTCAGTTTCAAGCTTTACTTGATTTTCTTGCTGCTGAAAGCATTTAATGAGGTATTATTATCTCTATAACAAAGTCCCGTGTTCTTAATCCTCACAAACGGAAACATGTCCTCCTGGTTGTTAATATCAACAACCATAACATTGAATGTTGTAGACAAATACCTTGCAGTAGGTATCAACAGTGACAGTATTACATGTATTATGGTAGGGCGCCTGATAGCTAGGGGAACAGCGCTTCGGATTCGTAGTCCTGAGGTTCCGGGTTCGATCCCCGGTGGAGGTGGAGACAAATGGGCAAAGTGTTTCTTTCATCCTGATACCCCTGTTACCTAGGCAAGCAGTAAATATGTACCTGAGAGTTAGACAGCTGCAACGGGCTGCTTCCAGGGAGTAGAGGCCTGGTCGAGGACCGGGCCGCGGGGACACTAAGCCCCGAAATCATCTCAAGATAACCTCAAGATAAGATTACTGACCTGCATCATAGGTTAAAGGAAAGACTTACCTATATTCTTATCAGTAAGTGATTTTAGTTATCACTGTTAAATATGCAAGACTATTTTACATATTTTTTATTAGATCAGTAGTTGATTATCATGCCCTTCACCTATTAACTTCCCGCTTCTGTTATAAACAAACTTGAAATAATTTTATTTCTAGTTTTATTTATTGTTCTAATTTTAATTAAATTTTATTTTATTTTTCTAATTTTAATTCTACGATAATTTTTTGGTAGTCATTGAAGCCACGAGGGTGATTCTTAGTGCCCCAAGATGAAGAGAAATTATTAACATGATGAAATAACTAAAGCCTCCCACCATATTACTGAGGATCATACATGTCAACACAACCTTTCGTATTAAAGTCATGAGAGACCTGATATATCTAGTATTAATCAGAAGAACTATTTTGCTCTGGTAATACATTAATAGTTGGCGTTAACATATCAATTTATTCCTCTCATGATAAGTGACTGAGTAAAAATGCCGATACTCTGCAAGCTGAACAAACATTGTAATCTGCCTGTCACCGATATTCGCCACCTATTGCATGAGGCTACAAGGGACGTATCTCCCACCCCTGAGCACTCTAGGTGTAAACTCTGCGAGTAGGAACTTGGTCATGGCACTACATTATTGAGTGACCAGTCATTGGGCCCCTTCAGACCTGCCGGTAGCTACATGAATACACATGTATCGTTGGCCCTCCTGTGAACCATAACAATGCCAGCATTCAGTTAGCGACCGGATACCTTGGGCCCTCCAGTGAACCATACCAATGCCAGCATTCAGTTAGCGACCGGATACCTTGGGCCCTCCAGTGAACCATACCAATGCCAGCATTCAGTTAGCGACCGGATACCTTGGGCCCCACAATAGTCCTCTGTCCAAGACCATACGCTGGGTTACCTGGGGCGCCGGGAGTCCTGTACACACAGCCCTCAGACCGTGAAAAGGGAGGCAAGTGTGTACATAGTATCAACAGCCCAAAAGCCGCGCCAGACTAGACTGAGCCAAACAGGACAGCCTGTGTGGTATATCATCCCACATTACGTTCCAATCCATCCCTACTCTTCCTTCATGCTGATTTCATTTTCCCATGTTCTGCTATTAGGTAAATATATATTTGATAATGTTATCGTAGTCGTTCAACTGTCTTCACTTTGTTTTTAGTCTCCCCTCACTTCTTTTTCATTTTCTATCAAACTGGATTTTTTATTTGTTTAGGATTAACTGCTGTATTTTTTTTTTCGTTTCATTTTGAATTTGATTTTCTTTTTTATTTATATATTTATTTATATATACAAGATTGGGTTTATGAGAGTACATAGCATGATGTGTTTACATTCTTGTAAAGCCACTAGTACGCACAGCGTTTCGGGCAGAGGAATTTACAATTTATAAATAAAAAAGTTATTTGTTCTGTTTTAAAACAAAAAAATATATTTGTTTTAAATAAAATAAAATTTGTTTTAAATAAAATCAAATTTGTTTTATAATAATTCATTGTGTCGGGGGACAGGCAGCCAGAGTGTATGAATACACGTTAGGCTAATATCGAGGTCCCCCCCCCCCCCCGTCGAATTACTGACCTCGGCCAGGATGTAACCCACAACAGTTGACTAACTCCTGAGTACCTATACTTACTGCTAGGTGAACAGCAGCATTAGGTGCAAGGAAATATACCCAATCATTATCTATCTCGTCCGGGATTCGAACCTTGAATTTTCGATTGTGCTTCGAGAACGAACCGGACTGTTTTGTTGGGGGGACAGGAAGCCTGTGTATACATTGGCCAGCCCGTCCTCCAGACAAAGACCCAAAAGTGATTCCATCCACCCACCAAACCCCAGCTGTTTATGAATGAAAAACGGTTTACACGCAACCCGTCCTCGACTCAAGTCCATTACATCCAGCGGTCGACCCCACAGACGCATTCATAAACTTTAACATGCTGTTCATTCAAAACGGGAATTTTCTCAAGTATAAATTAATATTATAATATATTAGCATATTGTGTATATATAGGCATAGGATAGGTTAGGTCAGGTGTTTAGGTTCTGTTGGCGATTATTTGTATTTGTAGTACGTGGGTGAAGCATTTACAGCGTTGTGGTTCGAACAAAATTCGTCAGTGAAGCACTTGTTCCGGAAGGGTTCGAACGTCAGCAGTTGTGAGTCGTGTGTAAACTGCTTTTCATTCATAAACAGGGGGTTTGGTGGGTGCATGGAATCACTTTTGGATCTTTGTTTGGAGGACGGGCTGGGATGTAATGGATTTGAGTCGAGGACGGGTTGCAGCGGCGGACCTACAGGGACCCCCTGAAGCATGAACTATTATCGGGCTCACTTTGCTACCAGCAAAGAGGCCTGGGGTAACAACTGGAACCTGTACACCAGTTGATTGACGGTTGAGAGGCGGGACCAAAGAGCCAGAGCTCAACCCCCGCAAAGACAACTAGGTGAGTACTAGTATCTTATTCAATGTGACTACTCCACCACAGTGTGGTTGTTCCACCACAGATCACCAAACATTACAGATTTAGAGATGTAGACCAAAATTTGTTAATTCTGTGGACTAAGCCGCTTCTGGGGTCCCTATGGGACTTAAAGCCCTGAAGCTCTATGTGTGGGGAAGGCCCCCCCCCCAGAAGCTTCAAGAGCCCTGAAGCATCTAGCCCCCCCCCCCCAGAAGCTTCAAGAGCCCTGAAGCATCTAGCCCCCCCCCCTTTGAGGTTAGGGGCCCTGAAGCTTAAGATTTATTAGTGCCGCAGTAGAGCCGCCCCTGAGTACATACCTTTGGCATTTAACGAGGTCCCTCAAGGTGGAACTACTGACCCTCCCCAGGATGCAACCCCACAACAGTTGACTAACTCCCGGGTACCTATTTACATCTAGGTGAACAGCGACAATAGGTGAAAGGAAACGTGCCCAATCATTTCTTTCTCCGCCGGGAATCGAACTCGAGATCCCCGATTGGGAGTCGAAAACAAATCCTCTATGATATTAATAAAGAGTTGTAACCCTCTAATCCACCACCCACACGACCCCTGTGACCCCCGCCCACCACCCACACGTCCCCTGTGACCCCCGCCCACCACCCACACGTCCCCTGTGACCCCCGCCCACCACCCACACGTCCCCTGTGACTCCCGCTCACCACCCACACGTCCCCTGTGACTCCCGCTCACCACCCACACGTCCCCTGTGACTCCCGCCCACCACCCTCACGTCACGACCTGTTTACCGTACATGAGTGGATTTTTGCATCTTCCTCCTCCTCCTCGCCTCACATAACACCTCTCACTCACTCACTCACTCACTCACTCACTCACTCACTCACTCACTCACTCACTCACACTCTCTCTCTCATGAACTAAGACAAGGGGTTCATTACCACGGTGTTGGTGGTGCTAATGAACCTACAAGTTAAGAACTGTCATCCTTCATCAGCTCATCTGAAGACAGACCCTAGACGCTGTCATATTAAATGAGGTTACTACAAGTTTGTCGTTAAGAATCACTTTTTTTGTATTAATGCTAAGTTACAATTACGTAAGGAGCAGCTCCGAGCGGGTCATCACTTAACCGGATAATTTGATTTTACGTACATCTGAGAGAACACGTTTTGGACGTGTCAGTC